AATCCAGGGGATCTGTTGCAGCAGCTCCCTTTTGGACAGCTGAAATCTCGTCCGTTGGCTTGGAAAGAGGAGAGCTTTGGCCCGGCCCTCCTGCCACCTTCCAAGCGGAAGGGCACCGGGATTTCAGCCTTTTCGGGCAGGTTTTTCGATGCACACCTGGCTGTTGCATCAACCTGGGAAACCCTAAGCCCCACCACCGCCTGTTGGCTCACAGAGCTTTCCTTGCTGCTAAGGATCTGCCTGCAGAATTCTGCATTCATTCGGGTGTTTCTTCTCTGGGGGTCGAGGTGATTGCATCTCACTCTCCTTTTTCTGTGCTGTTGGAACCTAGGAAGAAAGAATTTTGCTATAAAAATACCTTAGGATTGTGAAGGAGATTCAGTTTCTGTGTAACCTATCGTTTTCAGTCAGCGTATCAGTATGTACTTGCACGCTTGTAAAGGGCCTGATCGGCGGGAGACTTTCCTTATTCAGGGACGACCGTGTTGACGGGGGCTTGTGTAAGAGCGCTGAAGGGTGCGGGGAGTGTCCGGAAACAGGTTTTCTGCCTCCCATTCCAAGATGGTTTTGCAGCCCAGAACAAAGTTCCTTAAACCGCTTAAGCACCAGAGCGCAAACGCTTACAGTGGAAGTAAATAATTAGATCATTTTTATAAAGCAAAAGCCCAGCCTTGTATGAAGCTGTTTGGCTTCCTGCTATTGATCTATTGGTTTCTATTTCATTAGTTAAAAATTCTAGCTGTTCACATTTTTCTAAGACAGGCCATAGGAAAGGAATGGCTTTGGCAGGCTTTGTTTCTCAAAATGCAATTGTCGAAGTGAGGCTCTTGGGGCAAATACCGGAGGCGAGTTTTAATCCTTGTGCTCGTAATGAGTTTTATCTTCCTTGAAGAACAATGTGCTTTGGGAGGAGGGCCAGGGGTCTGTGAGGCTGCAGCCCGTTGTCCCAGAACGTGACTTCAAATGCTGGCAGAAATCAGCTGGCTTCTATTTCCCGTGGCCGTAATTGCTAGGGAGGTTGGGCGGGACCGGAGGACTTGTGCAAAGCCAGATGATGGAGGAGTGGTTGACAATTCCATCTCAAGGTTCAAGCAAGGAATTTCTTGTTGAGTTGTTAAGGGATGGCCGGAGGTAGTCCATGGGTGTTTGCAGAGGACCTTGGGGCAGGGACATGGTGGCGCAGCAGGTTAAACCGCAGAAGCCTCTGTGCTGCAAGGTCAGAAGACCAGCCATCGTAAGATCAAATCCACATGACGGAGTGAGCTCTTGTCGCTCATCCTAGCTCCTCCTGCCAACCTAGCAGTTCAAAAGCATGTAAAAAGGTGAGTCGATAAACAGGGACCACCTCGGTGGGAAGGTCACGGCGTTCCGTGTCTAGTCGCGCTGACCACGTGACCACAGAAATGGTCGTCGGACAAACGCTGGCTCTACGGCTTGGAGACGGGGATGAACACCATCCCCTAGAGTCGGTCACGCCTGGACTAAATGTCATGGGGAGCCTTTACCTTTACCTTGGGGCAGGGATTGGCAATGCTAGATGCTCCAGATGTTGTAGGGCTGCAGCTCCTAGCATGTGTTGTGGTTGGCTATATCAGTGGTTCACGACCTTGGATCTCCGGATGTTCTTGGACTACAGCCCCTAGAAGCCTTTACCACTCGTCGTGCCGGCCAGGAGTTCCTGGGGAGTGGTGGTCCAAGAACCATCTGCAGACCCAGCGTTGCAAAACGCTAGGCTGTACTGATGGGGATGGGGGGAGGTTGCTTTTCCCATCAGAGGAAAGGAATATAGAAGGGACAGCTGCTGACATGGAATTTAGGGGCGCCACCCCCATCTTAGTATAGCAGAGCTCTAAGCACCCTTGGAACTTTTTTAACACCTTCTTTAGCTCTTGTGGTGATTTTGGCTTTCGTTCTAAGCAAGCTAGTTTATGTGCATTTTTTAGCGCTGGAAAGTATTTGTAAAAGCTGCCTGGCAGTTGGTGCAGAATCCCCACAGCGAGACCATGTTTGAATAAATTCAAGGGTGATAGAAAATGCAAAGCAATTTTTTAAATGACAAAACGCGAGCCGAAGTGGCGGCAGCAGAAGCTTCTTCACCTGGATGTCGTGCCGCTCCAAGCAAATGGTCTCAATCTGGGAGCCCCCCAGATGTTTTTCAGCGACAGGCTGCTTCAGTTTTTTGCCCCATGGCTGGACTCCATTGATGCCTCTGATTGACACCTGTTTCCTGGATCACCGCGACGCTTCCAGTGTTTTATTTGCACAAGGAACAGATGGGATGATGGCGTCACCAGCGAGCTGCGTGACAGCCTGGGCAAAGAGCGTGCTCACTGACATGCTATCAAATTCCACTCACTCACTCTCAAAGCACACTTGAGTTGGCAGGTGAGCGACTGGAGGACGATGCTCTTTCTACCTGGAAGGCTCTGGTGTGCGTCTCTGCTGAGGGTGGCGGGCGACAACTCGCGTTGCGGTCGGAACTTCTGTCCTGCCAGGTAGAGAGAAGCAAGAGTCCCGTGACACCTCCTGGCTGGAAACTATTCTGCCATGGGCCTCTCCACGGCTTATGGGATGCCTTGTTCTGCACTCTGGAGAGGAAGCCTGCCTTCTCGATGAAGCCATCTGCAGACCCACCTGCAGAACGGAAGCAAGCATCTCATCGCCTTGTGAACCTCCTTCCTAAGCCTTTGAAGACGAACTGTGGCTCAGGAGCAGAACCTCTGCTGTGCATGTGGAAGAGGCCAAGTTTTTTCTCCTTGGCACCTCTTTTGGGAAAGCCAACTTGTCGCCCCAGAAGTCCAGGGGCTACTGTTTCCAGAAGCCCGGGCCGTCCCCCGTGGTGGCTTGTCCAAGGAAATCCAGGCCCCAGAGTTGGGGAGAACCTGGACTCGCAGGGCTTTGAGAGCTCCTCACCGTTTGGCGCCAAGAGGATCAATGATGGTCCCAGGCAGTTCTAGACCGGACAAGGCAAGGGTCTGACTGCTGCATGCAGGATTAAGAGAGTGACACTTCAGTCTGTGCTCTCTCTTTCTCTCCTCTTGGGGAAAAAGAGTCAGGAGAACGATCCCAGCACTCTCTACAGAGCGTTCTGAGGCCTGGAAATGTCGTCCCGGAGAGGGTGGAGGAGAGCCCTCCAGAAACAGTGTTGGCGTGGGAGATCTGGGATCTCTTGATCAGCCCCCAAATTCTGCTTTCTTGCCTGGATCTGCAAGGACTTGAACAGGACCCTCATGGAAACCAAGGTGGAGCAGAGGAGGTGTATCTCCTCACTCAGAATGCAGCAAAGAAGGGTCATCACATGCAGTTGGGGAGGCTGCTGAAGTTGGATCTGGGGGTGGGGTGGGGGGCTGCAGGCTCCTCTTCGTTGCTCTGGTGGAAACGAAGCTTGCCACAGGATGCGGTGATGGCATCTGGCCTAGAGGCCTTTCAAAGGGGATGGGACAAATTCCTGGAGGAAAAATCCATCGCAGGTGACAAGCCAGGATGGGGATGTACAATCTCCAGGCTCTTAAAAGGAAGGGACCCCCAAAGGCCAGATGCAGGGGATCAACCAGGCTCTTAAAAGGAAGGGACCTCCAAAGGATCAAGAGGCAGGTCTCTCGTGGGCTCCCAGAGGCATCTGGTGGGGCCACTGTGAGGTCCAGGAAGCTGGACGAGAGGGGCCCTTGGCCTGATCCAGCACAGGGCTCTTCTGAGGTTCTTTTGTTCTTAAGCTCACTGTGGGTCAACAGCAGCCACGTCAGAGGTGATCCCCCCCCTCTCTTGTTCCGGCGTGGCTGATGCTGCAGACCTTTTGATACTGCCTGTCTTGTTCTTAGTGGGGGTTTTTTAAATCTAATTATCGGGAAATTGTGGTTGTTTGTTCTTCCTCAAGGTGAGGCACTTTGGAGTTCTCCATGGGGAGGGAAGAAGGGCGGTGTGGATGTTTATTTAAATAAATATAAATGCATCTTCAAACTGCCGAGCGGGAAGGGACCCTGTAGAACACAGAGTCGAGCCCTTATCAACGAGGCCCCACGGGGGGAATCGAACTCCCAACCAGAAGATGCCTACGCCACTGAGCTATCCAGCAGTTCTTCTACAACAAGGCTCACCAGGGTCTAGTTGTACGCCCTCTGCCTCGTGTTTCCAGTCAGCCATAGAGGCTGGACAAAATGTACTTGTCGAGATGGTTAGGAGCCGCAGGCAACTGGTTTCCTCATCTTGTGGTCTTTGACCGTAATAAAGTATTCATTCATTCATTCATTCATTCATTCATTCATTCATTCATTCAACTGGTTTCTCTTGGGGTTGCCGTTGTCTGAGTGGTCCCGGGGGAGGGTGAAACCCCCTGCCCCCTACCAGTTTCTGGTCCCCTGGCAAAGCAAGATAGCCCTGATCATTACTTACCTCTCCTTAAAAGAGTGATCAGAAGCCTGTCAGAACTTGATCCTGCAAGGGATGATGAGATTTGGGCTGCTCGCCCCTGGCTGGCTCGGACCTGACCAGGCAGTCCTCCCCGTGCTGGTCGTGCTGAGCTTTGGGGTGCAAAGCCAGCAGAAGTTTTTCTTCTTCATCTTCTTAAAGCTGCCCCTCCCCTCCCTCCTGTCCTGGCCAAGCTCCTGAAGGCTTCCTTGCCTCAGGGCAGGCTATGAAGGCCACGGAGCGGTCCACCTTCTCTGGATCTCAGGAACCGTCGTCCTGGTGGGCCTTGGCCCGAGGCTGGGACGCAGGAGCAGCCCGGCCCCTCGGACGTTCTGCTTTTGCCGTCGCACTGCGCTGGCCTAATTCATTCTGGTCCCCAGCCAGCCGTGTGACAGTTCCTTCCCATCCCTTGTTTGCCTGTCGCGGGTGAGGCATGATCAGCAGCACCCCGGTCTGTTGAAGAAGCACTTGCTTACCTTGTGCGAGCGTTGTGTGACACCGTGCCGCCCCGTGCGTTAATCAATACAAGACTGAGCTCCTTGCTGGCTCTGAACGAGTTCTCATTAGCATCTGATTGGCTTCTTTCTCTTTTCCAGCACGACTCGATTCTGCACTCGGATTCTCGGGCTACTCTCCACCCGTCTGCCCCAGCAGGGCAGCCACGAGCCGATACATCGCAAGGTCTGTATTTTTCCAGGGAAAAACCACGGTTTTCTAGAGGAAGGCTGAGAATGGGGCAGGGGGTCCCCCCAGGCCAGACGGTTCTGGGGCGAGCCAGCTGTGGGCCAGATGCCAAGTGGCTTCAGCTCTCCTGCTCCCCATCATGAGGTGATATCCTAAGAGAAAGGCTGCAGGAGATGCGGGGAGGGCTCTTTTGAAAAGCCTCCCTCCGGCCGGTCTTCCCCTTTCCTGGAAATAAATGGGGCTGTGTGAAGCGGCCGTCTCTTCTGTGGGTCGTTTGTGACCCAAGCAAGGGGTTCCTGCTCTGAAATGTCCGGGTGAGGTCTCTCTCTGGATAATCCGTGAACTTCCCTGACCTTGTCTGAATATTTGGTAAGAGCCCCACAGATGGACCTGTTCTGGTTTATAGAGTGTACCGCTCTCCATCTCCCAGCTGCTCCCAGGAACGAGCCTTCTTTTTCCTGGTGGGGGCTCGCGAAGGGTGCTGTCCCTGCCCCACTGAGAAGGGAAGCAGAAGAAGGTAGCAGACACTTGCGATCAGTCGCTGAAATGATCAGCTGAGGAGAGGCCAGCTGCCTTTTAGCCCCGCACCCTATTCCTGCTTTCCTGGAAAAGGCCAGTCATCATTTGGGGGGGGGGGCATATTTTCCTACCCTCCCCTTCCTTCTCTTCTCATGCAATAACCCACCCTGGTCGGTCGGGTGCAGCTCATGATCTCCTAGCCAAGAGCCATCCGGCAGAGTCCTGGGGCAGGAAGGTGGCCATTCTTCCCCGTGGGTCACACGGTGGCAAGGGAGGTCTCCCTCATTGAGGGAGCTCTTCAAGAGAGACTCTCTCGTGGACCGGGTGGACCACGTTAAGAGTCTGTCATGGGTACCCCTTTTTAAGACATGCCTGAACCAGCTTTGCAGCAGAACGTGGACCAATTGGCCACACAATGTGAGGGACTCCTGGATCTTTCCCTTAATGTCCCTTAGTGTTCAACTGTAGGTATCCCACCTTCTCCACTACTCCTATTGCCTTGCTTTCATTTCAAACAAAAACCAAAATTAAAATAACCCAGAAATGTCTAGCCGTATCTCCAGGATTTTAAGTGCATGTCCAGCAGCCTGAGATTCCCTGTTTGTGCCTCTTTCCCCCCCCCTTCAGCCGAGCTGTCCAGCGTAGCTTAGCCATCATTCGCCAAGCCAGGCAGAAGAAAGAGAAGAAGAAAGAATACTGCATGTATTACAACCGATTTGGCAAGTGCAACCGCGGGGAGAACTGCCCTTACATCCACGATCCAGAAAAAGTTGCCGTCTGCACAAGGTACCCCCCCTTTTTTTCCCTCCCTGGTGCGGAGTGTCCCCCTCCTCTGAGCTTGTAAGGGCAGGGGCACCCCCTCCCGCAGGTGCTGCTTCCTAGCTCCAAAATCAGAATGAGGGGCAGGTGAGGCATTCGGGATGATTCTCAGCGCTGTGCTGGCCTCAGAGAAAGCAGGCTCTCAATCCACAAAAGCTGAAACTTATCCGTCTCTCCCAAAACTCTGTGTTGCCGTCCCCTTAAAAATGGGTCAGTATCTGGGCGCGTCAGAGAAGGAGTGCACACAAGCTTATCTCAAATGAAAAAGACAGGTGCCCGAGTGCCTCAATTGGCTCTCTTTTGAAAGAGGGACATGGACAAAGGAAGGGGTCTGAGGAAAATGGATCTTTAAAATAATGCATCATAATAAAGCTCATATTTGCCTGTTCTCCAAAAGAGGATTCTTTATTTAAGGCCATGATCATAGAATGGCCCAGTGCCCCTCAGGTCCAGTCTAGACTAAGGCACCATCCACCCCAAATCACAAATTTTTACACACTGGTCAGAACTAGTTTCCCTTACAGAGATCATTTCACTTACACGATTTGCACTTTGGGACTTTCTAATCTAAGACTGGTCAGAACTAGTTTCCCTTACAGAGACCATTTCACTTACACTTACATGATTTGCACTTAGGGACTTTCTAATCTAAGTTGCAGCACTTTTAGACAATACATTTTGTGGTCTGTGGGGTAGACCTCTGGTTCATCTTTGTAAGAAACCTTGTGAAGAGTTGGACACGACTAAACGATGACGACGAATCTAAGTTGCAGCACCTTTTAGACAATACATTTTGTGGTTTGTGGGGTAGACCTCTGGTTCATCTTTTTAAGAAACCTTGTGGCAGAGTGCTTAAACTGCAGTGCTGCAGTCAAGACTCTGCTCAAAAATCTGAATTCGATCTCAGGAGATTCAGGTAGTCAGCACAAGATTTACTCAGCCTTCCATCCTTCAGAGGTCAGTAAATTGAGTACCCAGCTTGCTGGCATGGCAGAGGTGGGCAAAGTGTCAGTAAATTGAGTACCCAGCTTGCTGGCATGACAGGGGTGGGCAAAGTGTCGCTTGCATAATTAAATTGTAAATGGCCCAGAGACTGCTTTAAGCAGAATGGGGCGGTATATAAGGAGCACAAGCATAATTAAATTGTAAATGGCCCAGAGAATGCTTTAAGCACAATGGGACGGTATATAAGCAGCACACTTTGCTTTTGCTTAATATCTTTTGTAGTGGTTCATTTATGTACTTGATTTCCAAGCTGCTGCAACAGTTTTTCAATAACATTTTGCTCAGAAGCTTAAACTTTGCAAGCCAGGTGAAACTATAAGTCCAAAGTGCCTGCTATTAATACACTTCCTTCTTAATATGGTTAATAAAATTATTTTCTAACAATCCCTCCTCTTAGCTATTTATTGCAAACCGATATAGTCTGTCCAGAAAACCGATCAGAACATTTAAGTTAAGCCTTTATTGAACTTGTAGGCTTCCACTTCACCGTTTAAATCCCTTTTTAATCTATCCTGTTATTCCTAAAGTATAAAACATTCCTCAACTTATGGTCATTAAAGGTGCTTAATTTCAAAAAGCATTTCCTAGTGTACGGCTAGAAAAAGTTCACCTGTCTGAAAAAAATGTCAAGTTTATAATCTATTGATAGTATAGTAAATAGGACATAAATGTTCACATACTCGCATGCTGCTGCAGACAGAGAGCCAGGGAGAGATTCTTTATAGCGTTTGTAGGCAAGCCTCCTTCAGTCTCGAGAGACGATAGTAACGTGCTCTGTACGGAGGACTTGGAACAGCATCTAGTGTGGCTGAGGAGGCCAATTCGAGAGTGACAATCTCTTCCACACTGAAGACAAATACAATCTGTCCTCTGCCCAGAATCAGCTTCCTGATTTTGCTGGTTTCATGACTACCTCTTGGCCTCGGCCTGCTGGACAAGGGTCTCTTCAAATTGGGAGAGGCCGTGATGCACTGCCTGCCTCCAGGCTGAACGCTCAGAGGTCAGGGTTTCCCATCTGTTGAGGTCTATTCCTAAGGCCTTCAGATCCCACTTGCAGATCTCCTTGTATCGCAGCTGTGGTCTCCCTCTGGGGCAATTTCCCTCCACGAATTCTCCATCCAGGAGATCTTTCGGAATCTGACCATCAGCCATTCGCACAACATGCCCAAGCCAGCGTAGGTGTTGCAGTTTCAGTAGAGCGTTTAGTGCTGTACGTTTTGTGTGTTGACGTTCCCCTTGCGCTTCAGGATGCTCGTTGAGAGGCCAGTTCGCACCCTGCCGTGAGCAACCTCTTTGCCACTGATCTCTCTTTGTGTGCATCCAATGTATGTGTCTGTGTTTTTCTGTATCTGTGCAAGGGAGAAAACAAACAAACCGTTGTATCATTGCTTGTGTTCAGGGAAGTTTCGAAATGGACCTCAATATTCATGTATTTTGTTCTAAACATGTAAGTTTTGTATCTTTCCTACGTTTTCTTTTTCTTTTGGCATCACTTGTATTTTAGAATGCTGAGTCTCTCTTACATGCCTGTTTTATACCCAAATGAGAGATAGCTGTGCTGGACCAAAGGGGACACGTTGAAGCCCGTGTCCGGCTAATCCCTTCCATGGCTGGCTGTGTTTAGCCAGAGGCACCTGGCACAGAGCCTGAGCATTCAGAGTGGCTTCCCCAGACTGCTCGGAGTTGCCGTGTGTCTCGTGGAATGGGATGGCCTGCCTCTGAGATGGTGGAGCGTGGCCAGTTGGCCTTCTGTGACTTCTTGCTCCTTCTGTAAGAGAAAGAAGCTCTGGTGGCGTCATGCAGCCATTTGTGTGTGTGGGGGGCCTTGCAGGGGTGGGTGGACGATTCTCTCCCTCACCTTCAGCCTTGAGCACTGGCCATGTTAAGAAGAGGGATAGGAGTTGGAGTCCGGCTTTGTTGTTGTTTAGTCGTTTAGCCATGTCTGACTCTTTGTGACCCCATGGACCGGAGCACGCCAGGCCCCTCTTTCCTCCACTGCCTCCTGGAGTTGGGTCAATTTTATGTTGGTCGCTTCGATGACCCTGTCCAGCCATCTCGTCCTCTGTCGTCCCCTTCTCCTCTTGCCGTCACACTTTCCCACCATCAGGGTCTTTTCCAAGGAGTCTTCTTTTCTCACGAGATGGCCAAAGTATTGGAGCCTCAGGATCTGTCTTTCCAGTGAGCACTCAGGGTTGATTTCCTTCAGAATGGATAGGTTTGTTGTCCTTGCAGTCCAGGGGACGCTCAAGAGCCACCTCCAGCACCGCAATTCAAAAGCATCGATTCTTCGGCGGTCAGCTTTCTTTATGGTCCAGCTCTCACTTCCATACATCGCTGCTGGAAAAACCATAGCTTTGACTATGCGGACCTTTGTCGGCAAGGCGATGTCTCTGCTTTTTAAGATGCTGTCTAGGTGCCTCTGACTTAGGTAATCCCTAAACAACTCATATGGATCGTTATTTCATAGACACCAGAGACTCCTCTCTGGAAGTATGGAGGGGAACGAAGCATGTGTCCACACGTTGTTTTAAGTACAGGTTGTGTTTCACCAACGTATCAATCAAGAAAATTAGGGAACCTCTTGTTCATGGCTGGTGCGCCAAAAGGGAATGCCAGCCTTTGCCCTTCTTCCCATCCGGGGCCCTCCAGATGGATGGAACAACAGCTTGTGTCCATTGCATCCATCGTCTGTGGTGGGGTTTAATGGGTTTTTTATAGTTCAGTATACGTACAGTACTTGAAAGATGTCAGGTTGTGGTGGGGGATTGTAGCAGGTAATTTGGAAATGTAGCCTGCAGCTTGTGTTCCACTGGCACATGTGCACATTTTCATAACTTTCTCTTTATGTATAAGGCGGAGCCAACAAACCATTGTAACCATGTGGGTGTTCAGGGAAGTTCCCAAGGAAACCTCAGCATTTTTCTTTATTATATTTTAATCGCATCATTCATTCATTCATTCATTCATTCATTCATTATTCGTTTGTTTTGTTTGTTTGTTTGTTTGTTTGTTTGTTTGTTTGTTTGTTTGTTTAACTTATATGCCGCCCACACTACCCAAAGGTCTCTGGGCGGCTTACAACAATTAAAATACAGACTATATATTTTTTTTAACTTGCTGGTATAACAGCATCATCAGTAAGGGAGCTGAAACAAGTTCCCATTGCAGACACCGAGAAGGCTTTTTGTGGAGTTCCCACCGAACGTACATTAGGTACTGGTGGGACAGGGACAGGAAGGAGGGGCTTCCCTGGGAGACAACCTATCTTAGATTGGTGTGGGAGAAGGTAGCATTAAACAGACAGTCCCACGCCCGTATGGATGCTGGGTGTTCAGGGCTCAGGGGGCCACCTGAAGTCTCAGGAAGTGGCTGGGTCTCTGCTTTTTGTGGAGTTCCCACCGAACGTACATTAGGTACTGGTGGGACAGGGACAGGAAGGAGGGGCTTCCCTGGGAGACAACCTATCTTAGATTGGTGTGGGAGAAGGTAGCGTTAAACAGACAGTCCCACGCCCGTATGGATGCTGGGTGTTCAGGGCTCAGGGGGCCAGCTGAAGTCTCAGGAAGTGGCTGGGTCTCTCTGAGTCTCCAGGTAGGAAGAAACATCTCACACGGAGCGTCACTTATGGCAAAGATGAATGTCAGTGATCAAGCGAGATGGCGTAATGTTTACAAATACCTGGCACAACTTTATGTTCCTCTCTGTTGAATAAATATTGCAGAGTCTATGCGTGTTTTCTCAAGTCTAAATGAAGCTGCATCATAGGGAGCCTTCCCTTTGAAATTTCTGGCTCAGTGGTTTCCTTACTCTCATGCAGATCTCAGAACAGGCATTTTGTGGGCAGGGCTCTGTTGTCATTTAGGATCTCTTCCACATTCCTTTGGATTTTAAAGGCTTTTTGAGGGGGGAAAATGATTTCCTGCTGATTTTCCACCCTAACTCATTTGTGCATTCGTCCTTAAAGCCTTAAAATAATTTAAAACACATTTAAACCATTTTGGCATTTCATATTTAAAATAACAAATTATAAATTGGTTATTTATTCCCATCCCCCTATGAATTGAGGTCATCAATGGGTTTTCACCGGATGATTGTCCAGAAATCCATTGGATCTGTGGGTTGGAAGGTGGACAGTGGGTTACATGCATGGAGAGACATTCAGCTTTGTTAGATTTCTGGCGAAAGGCCTTGAAGCTTGAAGTGCTGCTTTTCAGATTGTGCTTCTAGCTGTTTTGAGTTTCTTAGTAAAAGCTCTCTAACCCCCCCTTTTTTTCCCTTTGGCCCCCCTCACAGGTTTCTCCGTGGCACATGCAAGAAGACGGACGGGACATGTCCCTTTTCGCACAAAGTTTCAAAAGACAAGGTTTGTCCAAGCCCGGTTCTTGAGGGAGGCAGTTTGCGTTGGACAGAGGGGGAGGGTTGTCTTTCCAAGTGATTCAAATCGTGTTCGTTTGGAAATCGCTTGGCCAAGCGGGTCTGCGCTCGTAATGGGACTTCTCATAATGAAAGCCGAGTGCGCTTCTGTCGCCAGCTTGAAGTATTGTTAGTTTAGCACATTAAGTGAAGTGCTAAGTTCACAGCACCTGGGGCTGCTTGCCGCGTCGGTGAGACTCGAAGGCGTGGGTGGAAAAGGATCTGGAGCCGAAGGACGGCCAAGGGCCAGCCTCGCAGGCTCATGTCCTGCACCGATCCACGTGACAGCCAGCAGATTTGGCCCCTAGTGGCATCTCACAGCCCGTGGCAAGTGGGGCAGACAGTTCCCTTGCCTAAAGCAAGCGCTTTCCTTTCCAAATATCACAGTGAAAACTCAAGAAGGGGGGGAGGAAAACACCTTTATGTTCTGATGATAGAGCGCTCTGCCTTTATAGCTTGTAATCAGGGGAGCAGAAACCTTTCGAGTGTTTAGAAAAGGGGAGTGTCCTTTATGGTGATGCCAAACTCTCTGGGTGGGACACTTTTTTAAAAAATCCATTTTCAGGGGAAATGCGGTTGAGCCGAGGCCCGGTGTATCTTTGCACTACGGGTGCAGGTCCGGGAATAGTTCTCTTTGCCTAGCATGTCGATTCGACCCAGAGGGTGAACGTTTCCTTTCTTTGCTAGCACAGGGTCACACATTCCTGTGCTCCGCCAAATCAACCCAGAATCAGCTTTTGTTTTCCACCAGTTTAGACTCGTTCCGTATGAAGCAGTGGATTTCTCCGTGGTGACTCCTTCCCCCCCAGTCCCAGTGAACTGAGGAGGAGGTGGTGCCTTCCCATGTGGAGAGACTGGAACTCGTGCCGTGGCTGCAGTCTCTCCCAGACAGAGCAGGAGAGTGGCTTTCCATCCGCTGAGCTCAGAAGCCCACCCCACCCCCAGTTGGCGGTGATTTATCACAGAGAAGGAGCCGGCTGGCCCAGAGCAAAGGGGCAACTTCTGCACTCCATCCATCCAGCAGCTTCCTGTTAACCTGGTGATTACCAAAAAGGTGGCATTCGTCTCATTGATCAAAGTGCCATCCAGAGAGTGCGGGCAGGCGAGTTCATTCCTGCTGCAGAGAAGTTTTCCGGCTGCACCTGGACTTTGCTGTAAAGGGGTGGGGTGGGGGCGCAGATTCTGCAGCCTCCAGAGGATCCCTAAGGAGCTTTCCCATGTTATGCTTGCCTTGTTTAGAGTCAACATTTTTGCCCAGAGGCGTTCTTACCCAGAACTGAGTCAGAATCTTTGGGCCGCCAGCTGAGAATGCAGAAGGATGATGCCCTTGTGTTTTTTTTCTCTCTCTTCCTTTCTCCATCAGCTGGGTACGAAAAGAAAGAGTAATCTTCTCCCCTGGCTTAGCAGTGTGGTAAGCTTTCTCCCTGTGGCGCATCCCTCCCGATGCCACGCAGGAAGAAAAACAGAGTAAAATAAATTGCTCGAGGGGCTGCTTCTGCCGAGGAATCTTCCCCGGTTTTGATCCCTGATCCTTGACACACAAACACACCCCATATTGTTTGTTCCTTGGTTGGGGAAGGAAGGGGTGTTTCTACGCCTTCTCTTAACCCAGGGACTTGCCTTAGCTCTGTTGGTGGATACGAAGCAGAGCTTGGAGCAATGGCTCCTTGGGGACTACAACTACCAGAATCCCCCAAGTGCTGAGGAAAGAGCAGGTTTCTCCTCCTGGTTGCTTTAGCTGGTGTGACCCTCTCTTGGTCCGGCTCTTGAAACGGAGTTTATCTGCTTTGGTGTTCATGCCTGGAGAAACCTTGCCCGCTAAGAGGCAGAGAGCCAAAGAATCTTGTCAAAGGCGGCGAAACGATGTGGGCCGCTGGAAAGGCCAGAATCAGGCTGATGGGATGCAAGAGGAAGCCCCTGGCAGGGCTTGTGGTAGGGAAGTGGGGGATCGGAATAGGAATCGGGATGAGTCGGACGAAAGCACCGGGTTCGAGCAGGGCGCTTCCTCCTCTCTCCGCTGCTGCTCAAGCCAGACACAGGGAGGGGAGGGAAGAGCAGAGAGGCAACGAAAGTCTCGTTCACCCAGCAGCGATGCCAGCTGTGTTCCTGCTTAGGAAGGCAAGTCCTCCACAGGAGCGCCAGGTCTACCCTGTGGTTGATGGTGTGCTGGAGATCCTCTTTTAACATCCCCCCCCCGCTTCCCCCATGGAGGGTGAAAAAAAAACCAAAAGCCTTGTGGGTCCTGGCAGAGACGGAAAGGATGTTCCTCCCGACCCATGGAGCCATAATTAACCCGAGAGGGACGTAAACGGCCCGTATGTCCCCAAAGGAACTGCTTGGTCAGTGGGAATCCAAAGCCGGTGGTCTCAAGGCATCTGTGGGCTCCGCTTGCCACAGGTGGAGATGTTCCGCCTGATCCCCAGTTTGGAGGTGGGAAAAGGGACATGCCTGCCGGACCCTTTCCGGAAGTTGCTTCCTTTTGTCAATGAACTTTGGACCTCCAGTTCCGAGCGGATCCGAGGCGTCAGCGTCCAGGTTGTCCTCTCAGGAAAAGCGGTTGTGTCGGGAGGACTTCGGGAGGCCGGTACGCCAGGCCAGCGTTCTCTGCTAAAATAAATGGTGGCCGCTTTATCTATTTATTCTAGCCCCTTAGGGACACCCCCCCCCAATGACTTCTGTCCAACAATACTACCTAGCAACGTGGAAGATCCAAAGTAATCCATCTTTTAAAAAACCCCAAAAAAGCCAGAGCAGATGTGGCAGGTAACTTCATGGGATCCTAACTACCCAGGAACTTGGCAGAAGAAAAATGTTTCTGTAGCTTTCCTAAGACTCTTGTGGGCAAAAACGGGCGACTCTTTCTCCCCCTCCCCCCGCCCCGGTCTCTGGTCCCTGGGTGTGCAGCAAGGCGGCCCTCTGCCCCGCCGCGTGTACGTTAGCGGCTGGGATTGCAGAGAGAAAGGTTGGCGAAGGCTTGGGCTGAGGCAGGCTGCTGTTCCGACAGCTTTTCCCCTTGAGGGACTTGACAAGAATCAGCATTTTTCTCCCTAATAGAGCTTCAAAACTCTGTGGTGAGCAATTTGGAAATTCACGTTGAGTTTCGGGTTCATTAGCTGCCGGCTCAGAGCGGGGCGCGCGCATGTTCGAAGCCGCCTAATATGGCCGCGGCGCACGAGCGCCGTGCATTAATGTTATTGTTATTTGCGTGGACATAGCGGGGTGCAAACAAGGTTAATTGAAATGAGAGCGGCGCTTCCTCTTGGTAATGGCTGAGCCCTGACAGCTGGGAGGAGTTGAGTTTTGCATAAGAGCTGGCTTTATTATCCCTTTTTATTAGAGCTAATTTGATCTCTATATCAAAACCTACATTAAGGGAATCGTTTACGGTCACGCCACTGCCGACAGAAAAGACAGCCCCAGAGCCCTGTCCTTTATTTTAATGTCTGCAGTTAAAAGACAATTAAAAATAAACTCTTTGCTTCTGAAACCCCTTTTGTTTGTTGTCTTTTCTGGCCTGCCGCCTTTGCTGCCCCCTCCCTGGCTGTTCTCCCTCTCCCCCCCCTGCCCCGTCCCCACTGCTTCTCACTTCAGTGAACTAATTCAGTTAAAGGCCTGATCCGTCCTTTGGGGGAGAAGCGCTCTTCCACCTGCATAGCATCGCCTGGGCTTATTGCACATTTATTGTAAATATTGTTTGGGGGGTACACGAAGCGGCAGGGTTTGAGAGGGAGGGCGTTGAGCAGAAGGACCTCAGCTGGAGGGTCAGCCCATTTTGGGGGGGGGCAGATGAGCATGATGAAGTAAACACGAGGGCTGGAGGGGGGGGTCCGAGCCACCGGCCAAAGCAACCTTGGGCAGATAAAAGGCGCTCTCTCGCTCTCTTTCACTGTGGAAGTTCTCTTCTGGGGCAGAACGCCACTGGTCTCCGGAGGGTCGCCTTGGAGAGGAGGTGGGGATGATGGTTGGATAGGGCTGGACCGAGCGGGGTTGGTTCTGATGGACTGAGGCTTTCCTGGGTCACAAGCCAAAAACAAAAAACAAAACAATTCCCAGGCTCTACAGGAGATGCCAGGGACTGGTCCAAGCCTCCTTTTGACAGGCAAGCCGGGGGCACCCCCACGGAGCCACGGATCCTCTCCATCGTGGGTCACTGCTGAGGCCAAAAGGTGGAGCTCTTACTATAAGCAAGAGTATTTTCTTCCCGTTAGGGAGATAAGCATGGGTGGCTGACTGGTCTCGCCATCCTCATCTCACTCCATGGCCTTTGCTAGGCTCTCCCACGTCGTCGGCAGCCCCTGTAAACAAGGAGGTCTGGAAACCCTTAACCCTGGTTGCTTGTGGCAAGAGCAGCCGACAGACCAGAAGAGGCGCAAGAAGCACCTCGGCCTGAAGCTGCTCTCCAAACCCTTTGGAGCAGAAGAGCATCGGGCCCGTTGGCAGGTTTGGTCCAGGCCATGGGAACCCCCCCCCTTTGCTCTCCTGTGCTCCAGACCAGGCCTTTCTTAAAGCCTGCTGTGCCAAGCTGGTTGAAAGGAATGGGAAGGGTAACAATGAACTCTCTGCAGCTGTCTTGTCTGTCTCTCTGCCTGTTCACCTACCTGTCTACTCATTCATTCAGTTTATATCCCACCTTTTTTACCAGCAGAGGCGACTTGCAACAAAAAATTTAAAAAAACCAAGTATTAAGTCAATTAATTAAAACTTCAATACATTATGATATTAAAAGACAAACACATGGACCATTGAAAACTGTTGCATAAAAGTCCTTTAAAACAAATTAGAAATAAACTTTTAAAGTTTTTTTTTAAAAAAACAGCAGCTATCTTCCTAAGCATCCGTTTGCTTATGAAAAGCCCTGCATTAAAAAAAAAAGAAGGAAAGGTCTCTGCCTGCTGGCAGAAGGACCGCAGGAAGGGAGGGAGGGCCGCCTAGTCTTCGGCGGGAGGGGATTCAGCCACCTGGGAGCAGCCACGGAAGGTGACGTGCGTGGCCATAGTCCGACCTTGCTGCTTACAAAGAGAAAGTTAGTCACGAGTCCATGAGATCCCACAGGCCACACAACTGAACCTTTGAGCTTAGCCATTGTTCCCCGGGATTCATAAATGCTCATAGCAATCCTTGCAAGAGGCAATACTGTGTTGTCCTCCAGCGACCGGCGTTTCCATGACAGACCCCCTCCAGGAGGGCAGGCAGGCCCTGGGTGAGAAGCTGTCTCGATGGCCAGACGTTGTTAAAGGTACTTGCATAGACTTGTTCCTAGAGGTCTTTCCACATCTATGTTTTCTGCTGTGGCCAGATGTCCTGAGCCAGCTGAGCAGGACGA